GGGTGTCATGGCCAGTCCTTCCACAATTATTTACTGAACAACCACTGTGTGCTGGTGCTGACTGGACTTTGGGGACACAGCAGCGAACCAAAGATCTTGTTCTCATTAGGCTTATATTCTAATGAGCAGAAACCAGCAATGATAAAGTAAAAATACAATAGGGAAATTGAGATCATTGTAAGATCATCGCAGGAACTGGCAAGTGATCAGAACACAGATGGATGTGGTAGAGAGGGGCACATCTGTCTGACAATGTGACATTTGACTCACAACCTGAATAAGAGGAAGCCAGAGGTCCTGAGGGGGGAGCTTCCCAGGTGAAAGAATAGCAAAGACAAAGACCCTAAGGCCTTCTTTTAAAAGGATCACTACCAGATTACTGCATAAGGAATTTGATCCAGGTTGTTCTTGTTGATAGAGGCCTTCAAGTCAAGTGCAACTCCTAGTGACCTCTCAACAGCAGACCTGAACCTTGCTCCATCATGTACCATCCCCACCAACTCTGATATAATTGAGCTCATTGTTAACAGTCACTGTACCAATCCACCTCCCTGAGGGTCTTTCTCTGACTCTCCACCTTTCTAGACATGATGTCCTTTTCCAAAGACTGTGTCCCACCTAACAACATGCTCAAAGTATAATAAACAAAGCTTCACTATCCTCTCTCCTTCAGATAGCACCTTGGTTGCACTTTCTCTAAAATATTTTTGTGTGTTCTCTTGGCAGTCCACAGCCTATTCAGTACTCTTCTCCAACACAAATCAAAGGCATTGATTCCTCTTCTCTCATTCTAAGTCATTGTCCTACTTCCAGATGCATAGGAAGTAATTTAAAAGGCCACAACTTAAGTCTGATGCACTTAGTCTTTAACAACATTGCTCCTTGGAACTTGGGAAAGGTCCTTGACAGCAGATTTTCCCATTGTAACACATCTTCTGATTTCTCTTTTCTTTTTTCAGCATCTAAGCTTTTATTAATGTTTTTTAAAATGAGCATCCATGCCACTGAGATTGTTGTTGTTGTTGTTATGTGCCATCGAGTCACCTGCAATTCATAGTGACCTTATACACCACAGCCCTAAACCCTGCTCTGTCCCTTGCCAATCTTATCATCTCCAGCACACCTATCCCCATTACGCCAGTGACTGAATCAATCCATCTCATTAAAGGTCATTTTCTCTTGTGCTGTCCCTCCACCCTTCCAAGCATGACACCCCTCTCCAAGGACTGATCCCACGTTGCAGCATGTCCAGAGTATGACAGACGAAGCTTCAGAACCCATGCCTCCAAGAAGCAGCCTGGCTTCACCCTCTCCAGGATGAACTTGTTTGTTCTCCAAGCAGTCCATGGTATATTCAACACTCTTCTCCAGCACCACAACTCAAAGCCATCTATTCTTCTGCCATCCCTAGTCACTGTCCAGTTCTCTGATGCAGAGCAAGTAATTACAAAGTCCATGGGCTGTATCAGGCACACCTTAGTCTCCAGACTTACATTGTTGCTCTTCAGTATTTTTGCGAGGTCTCTAACAGCAGACTTTCCCAGTGCAATTCATCCTTTAATTTCCTGGCTGCTGATACCAAGAGTGTTGATTGTAGAGCCAGGCACACTGAAGCTGTCAACAATCTCAATCTCTTCACCATCCATCATAATGCTGTCCATCAGCCCAGTGGTGAGAATTTTGTTTTCTTAATGTTGATCTTCAATCCATATTGAAGGCTGCAGTCCTTGACTCTCTGCAGCAAGCGCTTCAGGTCCTCCTCAGTTTCAGCAAACAGGGCTATGTCATCTGCAGAAAACAGATTGCTGATGAGTCTACCTCCACTGCTGATGCCACACTTCTCCTCATAGAGCCCAGCCTCCTGGATCATCTGGTCTTCATATAGATTGAAAAGATATGGAGATAGGACACATTCGTGACGCATGTTGTTGTTGTTGTTGTTATGTGCTGTGGAGTCATTTGCGACTCATAGCGACCCTATGTACAACAGCCCTAAACTCTGCTCTATACTGCGCCAACCACACTGCCTCCAATGCACCCATCCCAATTACCCCAGCCACCGAATCAATCCACCTCATAGAGGGTCTTCCCCTCCTGCGCCGTCCCTCCACCCTCCCAAGCATGACGTCCCTCTCCAAGGACCTGTCCCTCCTTGCAACATGCCCAAAGTATGTCAGAAGAAGCCCCAGAATCCTTGCCTCCAAGGAGTTGCTTGGTTTAACCCTCTCCAGGATGAATCTGTTTGTTTTCCTAGCAGTCCATGGTACATTCAATACTCTTCTCCAGCACCACAGCTCAAAGGCATCAATTCTCCTTCTGTCCTCCCTAGTCATTGTCCAACTCTCTGATGCATAGCAAGTGATTGCAAAGACCATGGCCTGTATCAGGCGCACCTTAGTCTCCAGAGAGACTCCGTTGCTCTTGAGTACTTTAGAGAGGTCCCTAACAGCAGACTTTCCCATCACAATACATTTTTTTTATTTCCTGGCTGCTGGTGCCAAGAGTGTTGACTGTGGAGCCGAGCAAATTGAAGCTGTGAACAATCTCAATCTCTTCGCCATCCATCCCGATGCTACCAACTGGTCCAGTGGTGAGAATCTTTGTCTTCTTGACATTGAGCCTCAGTCCATACTGGAGGCTGCAGTCCTTGACCCCCTGCAGCAAGTGCATGAGATCCTCCTCAGTTTTAGCAAGCAGGGTTGTGTCATCCGCGTAACGCAGATTGTTAATAGATCTTCCACCAATCCTGATGCCATAATTCTCCTCATAGAGCCCAGCCTCCCAGATAATCTGCTCTGCATACAGGTTGAAAAGGTATGGAGACAGGACACATCTTGATGCATACCCTACCCAATTTTGAACCATGCAGTGTTTCCTTGCTCTATTCAGACAACTGCCTCCTGGTACAAGTATAGGTTTCACATAAGCACAATCAAGTGTTCTGGGATTCCCATTCTTCTCAGAGTCAGCCACAGTTTATTGTGAGCCACACAGTCAAATGTCTCTGCATAGTCAATGAAACACAGATAGACATCCCTCTGGTACTCCCTGCTCTCAGTCAATATCCACCTGACATTAGCAATAATATCCCTAGTGCCATGGCCTCTTCTAAATCCAGCCTGCACTTCAGGCAGTTCTCTGTTGATGAGCTGTTCCAGTCGTTTTTGGATAATCTTCAGCAGAATCTTGCTTGAATGTGATATCAATGATGTTGTTGTTGTTATGTGCTGTCGAGTCGCTTGCGACTCATAGCAACCCTATGTACAACAGCCCTAAACTCTGCTCTGTCCTATGCCAATCTCTGACACACACCCATCCTGATTACCCCAATCACTGAATCAGTCCACCTCTTGGGGGCCTTCCCCTTCTGCACTGTCCCTCCACCCTACGAAGCATGATGTCCCTCTCCAAGGCCCTATCTCTCCTTGCAACATGTCCAAAGTATGTTAGACAGAGCCTTAGAATCCTTGCCTCCAAGGAGCAGCCCAGTTTGACCCTTCCCAGGATGAGTCTGTTTGTTTTCCTAGCAGACCATGGTATTCTCAATACTCTTCTCCAGCACCACAGCTCAAAGGCGTCAATTCTCCTTCTGTCCTCCTTAGTCATTGTCCAACTCTATGATGCATAACAAGTGATTGCAAAGACCATGGCCTGTATCAGGCACACCTTAGTCTCCAGAGAGACACCATTGCTCTTCAGTACTTTGGAGAGGTCCCTAACAGCAGACTTTCCCATGGCAATACATCTTCTAATTTCCTGGCTGCTGGTGCCAAGAGTGTTGACTGTGGAGCCAAGCAAACTGAAGCTGTGAACAATCTCAATCTCTTCACCATCCATCCTCATGCTTCCAATTGGCCCAGTGGTGAGAATCTTTGTCTTCTTGACATTGAGCCTCAGTCCATATTGGAGGCTGCAATCCTTGACCCTCAGCAGCAAGCGCTTCAGGTCCTCCTCAGTTTCAGCAAGCAGGGTTGTATCATCTGCATATCGCAGATATAAATGATACCTGTTTGATAATTTCCACACTCTGTCGGATCATCTTTCTTTGAAATGGGAATGAATATAGATCTCTTCCAGTCAGTTGACCAGGTGGTTCTCCTCCAGATTTCTTGGCACAACTTGGTAAGCACATCAGGGCAGCATCTGTCTGTTGAAATATGTCAATCGGTATGAAATCAATTCCTGGGGCCTTGTTTTTTGCCAATTCTTTCAGAGCAGCTTGAACTTCTTTCATCACCACAGGCTTTTGTTCATACATTGTTTCATGAAATTTTTGTGTATCCACCAATTCCTTTTGATACAATGACTCGGGGAAAAGGGAAGGGTAAGAGAAGAAGGAATTCTGCCTTATTGGTTATAAAGCTCCAGGTTCATCCAATTGTGGATTCCATAGTCCCCCAAACACACGTGGTCCTTGAAAATGGTGTATAACTTCTTTAGGATAATTTTGTTCCAATAGAGGCCAGTTTGGGCTGCAGTGAGCTTTTAAAGATCTCCAATAGTGTCATCAGTGTTGTACTTAATGCACACAGACTTTCTTCCCCAGAGGGTCACTGCTGGTTGTAGCTGGAACCTGTTTAGAACTAGTGACGCCCCAGCCTCCAAGCTTAAACAGCTAGGCCAGAATACCACATCTTCTGATTTCTTGACTGCTGGAATCAAGGACATTGATTGGGGATCTAAGTAAAAGAATATCATTAACAACATCAAACTTTTCTCCATCTATCATGATTGATAGATATTGTTGCAGTGGTGAAGATTTTCATATTCTTTTTTTTTTTTTTGAGAATTCACATTTATTGAATAAGTGATGTTATACAACCTGGAATTTCTGAATTTCAAATAAGTTTAACCCTTTTTGCACATTTGATCTATTACCTTATAGAACCAAGAGGCTTGCTAACAGCCTGATGTTCACTCAGCAATGGGATGATATCCATATTCCATTGGCACTTTAATAACAAGTCCTTGGCGGCTTCTGTCATGTTCCACCAGATGGTCTATTGCCCTCCTTTCTGTACAAGCTGGGCAAATCGACTGGTGATGACGGGGGGAGGGGGGGGTGTGGTATCAATGAAGTGGTCCACACAGCTAGAGAGACAGTTTTCAGTGCGAGAGTCTAGGCAATTCCCCAGCTTTTCCACACACTTATCCCGACATAGTTCCATGAAACGATGCACCGGTACTATGAACTGTGCCTTCTGCTGTTCGGCCACCACAAAGCGCTGCAACTCCACTTCATCTGCTTCACCCAGCTCTGCCATCGCTGCCAAGCCTCGCCGCCTCCTGTCCGATTTTCATATTCTTGTTGTTGATATGTAATCCATATTGAAAGCTGCAGTCCTTAAACTTCTACAGCAAGAGTTTCAAGTCCTCTTCATGTCCAGCAAGCAAAATAGTGTTGTCTGCATAATGCAGATTGTTATGAGTCTTCTTTCAATCTTGATGCCACATTCTTTTTCATAAAGTCCAGCTTCTTAAATTATTTGCTCAGTATCCAGATTGAGTAAATATGGAGAAAGGGTATAGCTCTGACACACTTTTCTTGATTTTAAACCATGCAGTGTTCCCTTGCTCTGTTCCAACAACAGCTTCTTGATCCAGGTATTGGTTTCACATCAGCATAATTAAGTGTTCTATGATTCCATTCTTCTCAATATTAGCTATAATTTGTTATGATTCACATAGTCAAATGTCTTTGCATAGTCCATAAACATAGATAGGCATCCTTCTGGTATTCTCTACTTTCAGCCAAGATCCAGCTGACATCAGGAATGAAATCCCTGGTGCCATGACCTCTTCTAAATCCAGCTTGAACTTCTGGCAGCTCTCTTGATGTATGGGTCTATCCATATAGGGGTAATCTTCAGTAAGATTTTACTTGCATGAGATAATAATGATATTGTCAATAATTTTCACATTCTGTTGGAACATCTTTATTGAGAATGGGAGCAAATACAGACCTTTTCCAGTCAGTTGGACAAGTAACTGTCTTCCAAATTGCCTGGCACAGACTAGACATGAAAACTCTTTCATCAGAAGATTTCAAGAAATGTTTCAGAGACTGCTTCATTTATTTATCTTGTGACTGTTTTCAAGTTGTTGCTGTTGTGTGTCAAGTCAAAACCGCCCCATGGCTGACCCTCCTTTGGATTTCAGAGGTAGTTTAATCACCCAAGGAGGAGAATCCTTATCTTTCTCTGGTGGAGCAGCTGGTGGATGCAAACTGTGTTCCTTTGAATTGCAGTGTGGCTTCCTTACCTCTGGGCCACCAGAACTCCCTGGTTTACAGGTGGTGGTTGTCGTTATGTGCAGTCAAGTTGTTTGGAACTATAGCAACACTATGTACAACAGATCCAGGCCATGGTTTACAGGTAGGTCCCCATACATATTGAGGTTCTATTCCAACAACTCTAAAGTAAATCAACTCTTAAGTTGAATACCTCTTTTTTAAAAAAGAAAATATTATTATTGCCTTTTATTATCAGTATTTTTATAAATCTCATCTTTCAACATCTGCCAGCGAACATCTGAGAATAACATTAGCAAATTATCCACTTCAACATTGTGTCTAAAACATATTAGTAAGATAAGATATACCAAAATAAATGATCTTTAATGCAGGTTGTGGCTAACTCCAATTCATTTTAAGGAAAGGGCTACCTGCATTTGTTCAATGTCTATCACAGAGAAAATAAACCAAACTCATCACATCAGAGGTAATTCCAATGTGTAATGACCCTCCATCCTGTTTCCAGGCTGTAAATCTTTACAGGAGATTGCCTCCTCTTCCTCCTGCAAAGCACATAGTATATTCGAACGGCCAACCCTTTAGTTAGTAGTAGTTCAATATGTAGGACACTACGTCACCAGGGATTAGATAGAGGAAGGTCTGAGAAAGATGAAAGAACTTTATATTTAGGGAGAAACTTTTCTCCCTCTCAGGCCATCCTCCATCTAATAACTTTGCTCGTTTAGTCAGATTATTTTTTAATTCAACAACCAGTTGGAACAGGAAAGAAAAGAAAAAGCTCAGTCAATGAGAAAGATGTTTTTTCCCCAAGCTATGAAGGCAACAAGCATATACATCTGGGTCCATCTAAAACTTCAACATTTAATTAAAGAAATGGTAGTAGTAATAGCCCTAAATTTTTATAGGTCATGATTTAGGGCTTATAAAATGCTTTTGCAGACCTTGATTCTTTCCAACAGCCCTGTGAGAGAGACAGTAACAAATGTTTACTGGTTGCCTGTGGGCCTCAGCGGTTAGGTGATAAAGAGTTTATAATCCTGGAGTTTATCACCAAGAACTCCATGCCTTCCATGAAGTTCATAGTTAAGAGCAGAGCAGTCAAATAACACACAAGAGTTGGAAACTGTAACCACATCATCTAAGAGCACGCAAATAACAGAAACTGTAACCACAACAAATGCTTCAATGCCAAGGTTCATGCGGCTACAAGAACCTGGACTTCCTGGAGGAGGGGGTCACTGAGAATAAGTGGGATAACTAAACCAAGAGAGGAGGCAGGAGTGTTTTTCCAGGAGTGGAAACAGGAAGGGGGCGGGGAGAGAACAAGGTGCAAATGAGGAGTGGAAAAGAGCAGGTGAGTCTAGAAGAGACAGGAAAGTGGGGCAGGGGTAAGTGGCATGTAGGAGAGGATGTTATGTGGTACTCAGGGATCATGAGAGTTGACTTGTCATTGGTATAGGGCAAACAGACACTGAAGAATATTTTCATTTCTCTTCATGCACTTGAAAGGAACCCTGAAGGCACAGTGGTTAAGCATTTAGCTGCTAACAGAAAGGTTGGTGTTCCAGAAGCCAGAGTAAGAATCAACTGTAGAAAAGTACAAAGGGACAGGAGAACATCCCAATAATATTAATGGTGAATGACAGTCTCAGCTCCCTAGAAGAAAATCAACTTGTCTGTTACAGACAGACGTGAACTATTTATCCATCAGGTAGGAGTCCCATTTTGGTCACGAGATTGGGTAGAATCAATGACCAACTTTACATCAGAAGGATCTCTTTAATTATTCTATGCCCTCCTAAGATTTTCAAGATATATCTGAATGTTCTGCCACCCGTCCATGGGATGTTCAGTGCTCTTCTCTAACACCACAGCTCAAAGACATCAATTCTTCTTCTGCCATCCCTATTCATTATCCAGCTCTTAGATGCATAGCAAGTGATCAGAAAGACCATGGCCTGAATCAGATGCACCTTAGTCCTCAAACTGACATCATTCATTACTCCTCAATAATTTGGAGAGGTCCCTATTTGCAGATTTTCCCAGTGCAATACATCTCCTTATTTCCTTACTGATAATACCAAGGGTGTTAATTGTGGATTCAAGTAAGATAAAGCTGTTGACAATTTCAGTTTCCTCCCCATTCATCATGACATGGTCTGTCGGTCCATTGGTAAGAATCTTTGTTTTCTTGACATTGGGATGCAATCAATCCACACTGAAAGTTACATTTCTTTATTTCCTGCAACAAGCGTCTCAAATCCTCCTTACTTTCCGCAAGCAAAGTTGTCATCTGCCTAATGCAGGCTATTGAAGAGTCTCTCCCTTCAATCTTGATGCTATACTTCTCTTCACAGAGTCCAGCTTCTTGGATAATTTGCTCAGCATACAGATTGAATAGGTATGGAGACAGAATACTACCCTGCTGCACTCCCTTCTCAATTTTAAACCATGCCATGTTCCCCTGCTCTGTTCACATAACAGCCTCCTGGTCCAGGTACAAGTTCCACATGAGCACAATTAAGTGCTCTGGGACTCCCGTTCCTCTCAATATCAGCCACAAATAAATATATCTTGGAGAGGGTGCAGCCTGAGTGCTCTTTGGAGGCAAGAGAGATGAAGCTTTGCCACATATATCTTACCCATGTTGCTAGGAGGTGCTATTCTTTGGAGAAGAACATGATGCTGGGAAGCGTAGAGGGTCGGCAAAGGAGAGGAAGATCCTCCAGCAGGTGGATCGACACGGTGACTGCTGCAATGGGCTCTTGTGTGTCAGGAAGTGTGAGGATAGCACAGGATAGAACAAGGTTCAGATCTTCTGTTCCTAGGGTCGCTGTGAGTCGTACTCAACTCAATGGCACCTAACAATAACAACAACATAAGATTTTGGAAAAGTCTATCCACCAGGGTACATTTGCATAACAACTAATATATTGTCCTATTTTCCTAATGAACAGGCTAAATCATTCATCAGCATATGAGGCTCAAAAGCTTTCTGGCTACAGCAACAAAACAAAAGTGTTTCCATTGACTTTTGATCAGTGGGAAAATTTACCATGAAAAATGCCTAACTGTGTTTTTATGTTACTGTCAGGGGCATTTGAGTCGGCTATGACTCAGAGTGAGCCTATGAACAACAGATTTGAATCTGGTCCTAGCCTGTGCCATCCTTATCATCTCTGATATGCCCGAACCCATTGTTATGGTCACTGCACCCATCCATCTTGTTGAGGGTCTTCTTCTCTTTCTCTGACCCTAATTATTATTGTGATTGTGGCTGGTAGGTGCCATTGAGTGGAGTATGACTCATAGTGACACTACGAACAATAGATCTGAAGACTGTCATATCCTATACCATTCTAATCACCTCTAACAGTTGAGCACATTGTCTCAGTCTATCAAGTCATCTCATTGAGGGTCTTCTCCTTTGCTGGACCTCCACTCTTCCAAGTACAATGTTCTTTTCCAAAAAATTGCCTCTTCTAACAACATGCTCAAAGCATGTGAGATGAAATTTTGCCATCCTTGCCTCTAAGGAGGACTCTGGTTGCACATTCTCTAAGACCTGTTTGTTCTTTCAGCAGTCTATGGGATATTCAGTACTCTTCTTCAACACCATAGCTCAAAGACATCAGTTCTTCTTCTGTCACCCTTATTCATTGTCCAGCCCTCAGAAAGACCATGGCTTGAATCAGGTCTACCTTAGTCTGACATCATTGCCCTTCAAGGCTTTGGAGAGGTCCACGGCAACAGACTTTGCCAATGTTATAGGTCTTCTGATCTCCTGACTGCTAGTACCAAGGGTGTTGATTGTGGATCCAAGGCGAAATAGTTAAAAACGTCAATCTTTTCTCCATCTACCATGCTGTTGCCTATTTGCCCCAGTGGTAAGGATTTTTTGTTTTTCTTGATGTTGAGAAGTAATAATGCATATTGAAGGCTGTAATCTCTAATATTCTGCAGCAATTGCCTCAAGTTCTCATCGCTCAAGCAAGATTGTGTCATTTGCATAACAAAGGCAGGAGGAGGAGGTGGAGGAGGCTGTTGGTGAGCCTTCCTCTAATCTTGATGCCACATTCTTCTTCATGAAGTCCAGAGTCTCATATGATTTGCTCAATTTATGGGTTGACTAGGAATAGGAAAAGTATACCACTTTGGAACAAAACCTTCTTGAATTTACACAATTAATTGTTTCCTTGCTCTGTTCTGATAACAGCTCCTTGGTCTAGGTATGAATTTCATATAATTAAGTGATATGGAATTGCTGTTCTTCTCAATGTTAACTGTAATTTATTATAATCCCCAAAGTCAAATAACTTTGCATAGTCAATAAAACTGATATAGATGTTCTTCTGGTATTTTCTGATTTCTGCCAAGATCCATCTGACACCGGCAATGACATACCTGGTGCCATATTGAAATTCTGACAGTTCTCTCTCAATGCACTGTCCTAGTCATTTTTTATGATGTTCAGCATTATTTCTTTTGCATTTGATATTAATGATACTGTTTCATAATGTCCACTTTCTGTTGGATCACTTTTCTTGGGAATGGGAATAAATATGGATCAGGTAATTGTCTTCCTAATTTCCTGGCACACACTGGTAAGCAGGTCTAGGGCTGCATCTGTGAGTTGAAATATGTCAACTGATTAAATGAGTATACAAAACACGTAACAAGTACTTAATCCTTAGAATTAATAATAGCGTTAGAATAATAAATCTTCATGGCCAAACTTCATTACCTAGAGGCAAAAATGACAAGTTAATAAATTAGTATTTTGATTCTCACCGGTAATTATTTGCCTCCCTGCTTTGTCTTTTTTCCCCACCCATAAACCAACAAAAAAACTGAGAAAATATCCTAAATGAGGACATCCCATTGATTCCTGGGACCTTATAGGGTTTTTTTTACCAATGTCTTCAGTGCAGCTTAAACTTCTTCTCTTATCACCATTGGTTATTTATCATATGTTCCTTCCTGAAATATTTCAGTGTCAACTAATTTTTTTTTTGGTACAGGGACTCTGTGTCATCCCTCCATCTTTGTAGATGCTTCCTAGATCATTCAAGATTTTTTTTTCCTATAGCATCTCTCAGTGTTGCAACTCGAGGTTTGAATTCGTTTTTTCATTCTTTCAACTTGAGATATACAAAGAAAGTTCTTCCCTTTTTATTCTCTGACTCCAGCTCTCTTCACATTCCATTATTACACATTGCTTTGTCTTCTTGAGCTGCCCTTTGAAATCTTCTGTTCAACTCTTACTTGAGCCTCTTCCCTCTGTTTTGGCTTCCAGATGCTCTAGTGCAATTTTTGGTTTTATTTTATTACTTTTTGAGTGTGTACCATCAAATCAGATTTGACTGGTATGGAAGGAGATTGTCCCTCCTTCTCCAGCAGAGCATCTGGTGGATTCAAACCTCATATCTCTGGGATTGCAGTTCAGGCCACCAGAGCTCCCTGCTCTAGTGCAATTTTCAGAGTCTCTTCTGGCATCCATGTTCATCTTTTTGTGACAATAGCTCATGGCCACCCTCTTTCTCACCCTATCTCCAAATCCTTGAAGACCTGAGTACCTCAGACCAATATCTACTATTCTGTGGTCACATTCAATGTCCCTCAGGGTGCTCTCTGGAACCATAAAGTGCAACCTCCTTGCATTGATTTATCTGGGGAAAGGCATAGGGATCTAGGCAGGAGCAGTCAGGGAAGGATTTCTTCAGATTCTTCCCTAACGATAAAAGGCTTTCTTCCAATCCTTTCCTGATAAAGAAAACCCTGAGAGGGCCCTTGGAGCATGAGCAAACTTTGGAAAGTGGAGGAAAAGTGTGGCGAGGAAGCAGCAGCACACTTCTGAGACTGGTGAGACAACCAGCCGAGCTCCAGGAAGAGTCCACGTGAGGAAGTACTACTTGTGGATGCAAGAATAGAAGGAGTAGGGTGCGACAGACTTTAAATGCCAGGCTAAATTATCCTCCGAATGATGGGGAATCATTAAAGATTTTCAAACAGGAAAATGATATGTTGGAAGTGGTGTTTTTGGCAGATGAATCTGGTGCCCACACATGCTTTGAGGTGGGAGGAGACCAGTTAGGAGACCCACATAACAGACCAGATGTGAGCTGAAGAGCCTAGACTCAGGAGGATGCAGTAAGGAAACAAAGAAGCAAATCTAAGACATATTTCATATTTCTCCGGCAAGTTTAGGACTTGGTGAGAATGTGAGTTTGGAAGCATCAAGGTGCCCCTGACATGTCTAACCTTGGAGCCTGGTGGTAGAGGAAGAAGACGGTCACCGTGGGAAGTGAGGAAGGAGGGGAGGTGAATTCATGGGGCACTACAAGGAGCCTTTGACACAGGACATCCTCCACAATGGTTACCTTTCCAGATAAGGTTGGAGGGGGAGGCAACGTGGCTTTCACATTTCACTCTATATTTAATCTCTTCTAATGATAGGATTTTGTGTAATTTTTACCTCCCTTATTGTGCTTTTTGGTAATTTTAAAATAATTACTTTAATTCCATGTAGACTCCCAGAGTCTTGTTAACCCTTTGGAAGCCCTCTCTGCTGATCTGTTCCCCAGGCACTCAAGGCAAGGGGTGGAAGGAAGGAATTACAGTACAGTTCCTGAAAAAGATTTCATTAGGGTTTAGGTTCAACTCCCAGATCTGTGGTTTTCTCTGTTGGGGGGTCAGGGAGGCTTTCTTCAACTGTACTCACCTTCAATATTTCAATGTTTCCCTCCCTTTCTCCCCACTGCCCCCTGCTGGGCCCATCTCTATCCTTTAAAGTTTCAAATATCTTCATACTCCCATCCTCTTATCAAAAATTACAGGGTTAAGGTTGGAAAAACTGACCTTGAGATTTTTGAAACTGAAATACACCCAATCCAGCCCAGCCCAAATATTTGACTAAACCACAACTACAGGCCATTACACTGAGCTCTACAATCAGGTTTGTCTGGGCTCACATCCTAGCTCTGCCTCTCATAGCTGTGTGTTCTTGGGAAAGTTAACTAACTTCTCTGAGCGAGAACAGGAAATACTAGTATTTACCTCCAAGAGGTGTAAAGTGGGTTAAATTCATATGGAAAACACTTAACAAGTACTTAATCCTTAGTAGTGTTGTTGTGGGTTGTGTACTGTGCAGTCAGAGCTGACCTATAGCTGACACTCCAGTGGGTTTTCAGAGGCAGTTAATCACACAGGAGGAAATTGCCCATCCTTCTCCCATGGAGCAGCTGGTAGATTTGAACCTCCTGTCTTCGGGATTACAGTGAAGCTTCCTGCCATTAGGTCACCAGAGCACCTATAACATTAAAAGTAATTCTTCATGGCCTACTTCATTACCTGGAGGCAAAAAT